TATCAATCAATGATGAGCAGCATTGCTTCCTCCGATATCACGGTTACCGCTGCATCCTCTGACATAATCACACAGCGCCAACCCGGGTTTGAACAGTCCCGGATTCTCACCTCTGCGTTTCTGCAACCGAAGACATAGTTCGACATAGCGGCGTTCAATGTGTGCACCTGAAAACAGATTGGGCAACAAGCCGGTCTCGCGCGCACTTTAGAAACTCCTGTTATTTGTCCGAAACACGATTTCAGGATTCCAGCACAGTCTACTAATTGTCTTCACCAATTCACCCTTATACCCGTTTCCACCTTCGACTTTATGGAGATGCCGAGGCTACCGATTCTGGGCAAGCTGGTGTTGGAGTCGCCCTTAGTGCCAGAGCTGAAGCCGCCCTTCTCGAATGAATTCCGATCAACAGTCGCCTTTATGTTGTCAGGCTCCATGGCTGGTGCAAGATTAACACGCGTCGAGAAGACAAAGGTGCCCTTTGTTAATCGCCGCCTATACTCCCACTGACTGTAGCCCAGGTACCGTCAAGGACCAATTCTATCAGAACCTACGTGATTTGATCTTAAGGGCCCCAAAACGGACATCGTTATTATGGTGGGGGATTTCAACTCGCGTGTTGGTCGTATGTTATCAAGCAAACGCCATCTTAGAGGCTCGCATGGATACAACTTTTGTTCCGACAATGGTGAAAGACTACTAAATTTGTGTTCAGTCCACCAACTTTACCTCTCCAGCACGAACTTTCGCCACCCTGGACGTCACTAAGCTACCTCGCACTCTCCATTATCCCCTCAACGTTGGTCACAGATGAACTACATCGCCATAAGTCATCGCTGGCGTGGCAGTATTTGGGACTGCAGATCCTATTGGTCAACATGCGTGGAAACTGATCATGCGCTAGTGCGTGCGTCAGTTTACATGCGTTTCGGTGGCTCGCCTAGGACTAGACAAACTCGACTTAACTTTGGGAAACTGGAAGACTTCGCCGTGCAATTGGAACATCAAAAGCAGCTTCGTGAGAACCTCAGTTCTCCGCCTCGTCGGGACGTTGATCAGCATTGGTCGCGATTGCAACAGATTATGTTTTCAGCGGGTTTATCCAGTTACGGTCTTGTTCGTTGCACAACTAAAAGTTGGATCTCGGCCACCTCCGCGGAACTTCTCGATTATCGGCGAGCGATACCCGTTAGTGTAGGGCACGCTGAGCTCCGCCTGTCTATTTCCAGACAACTGAAAGTGAGTCTTCACCGTGACCGTGAATCCTGGTCTAAACAGACCAGGGAAATGGAAGTTGCTGCCTCTACTAGTAATAGCCGCAGGTTGTTTTATCTCATCAGATCTACCCGACGCAAAATTAAGGCCATCAGTCAGACGGTACAAAGTTCACCAACCTAGGCGGACGTCTGGATCGCTGGGCAGAGCACTTTGCTCTCCAGTTTAATTACCCAACACAACCTCTGGTTACACATCCACTGCCATCATGTGATCCTTGGTCAGTCTGCATAAATCCTCCCATTGAAGCAGAAATACGGAGAGAAATCCAGATTCTGAAACGCCACAAAGCTCCTGGCCTTGACAGTCTTCCTCCGGCCTTACTCAAAGATAGGGGAGCTTAGTTGTCACCGAGATTTTATCACTGTTCAAAAAGTATAAGGCGATGAGAAGGTTCCTAACTCATGGTGAGAATCTGTTGTGGTTCCGATCCACAAGAGGGGCTCTCGTAGTGAATACACCAACTACCGAGGAATCTCACTTATCGCTGTCGCGTCCAAGTTTTTTGTATCCCTTCTGCTGCGTAGGCTCTGGGTTACCCGCGAGAGTTTGTGTCGTGAGGAACAGGTGGTTTTCGTTCTAGCCGTGATTGCATTGACCAAATTTTCACGTCGAACATCGTCATGTCCACCGAATACCAACAGTGGTGGTGTTTTTGGATATCCGAGCGGCTTTTGATTCAGTAGATAGGTCCTCACTGTGGAACTGTCTGTTACGGAACGGCGTTCCCAACAAGTTTGTCATACACCTCTGGCAAAGTTAGAGCTTATCGAAGGCTTTTTTCCTAGTTTCCCGTTACCAGTAGAGTGCGCCAAGGTTGTCCTATCTCGCCATTCCTGTTCAACTTTGCCATGGAAGATGTCCTACATCGCGCACTGGGAGGAGCCCAGAGCTGCGGCGTTGAGCTTCTACCCGGGAGCAGAGTCGTGGACCTTGACTATGCTGATGACATCGCTTTGCTGGGGGACGACTCGCAGGTTGTTCAAAAAATTCTGAACCACTTAGCGATATAGGTATCGAAGTATGATATGTATTTTGCTCCATCCAAGTGCAAAGCTTTGCTCCAGGATTCGCAAGCTCCTGTACCTACGCTCACCATTTCGGGTGTCAGCCTGGAGTTCGTCAACAGCTTTACTCACCTCGGGAATTGCGTTACGGCTGGTGGCGGTTTTAGCGATGAAATTTCACAACGAATTGAAAAAGCTCTTGTTAATGGGACGGAACCAGCCAATGAGAGCGTTTTACGCTGAGGGCTATTGATTTGGCCATAAATTGAATGTACCGTTAGTTGGACGTTAAGTAAATATACTTGCCAGCCGTACGCCGGTCTCCTGCTTTGGGAAGTCGGGCTGATCAGAGGGCACGCTAGCAGCAGGTCATCGGTAGGTCAGCCGAAACCATAACATATATTTTTGGCGACGGAAGGTAGTGGATCAAGATGTCAATTTCAGCGGAAGACCTGAAAATCATTTTGTTGCGGCAACAGCAGCAATTTGAAACAGCACAGCTGCGTATGATTGAAACCCTCACCCAAATGTTATCTGTGCAGCCTACGGTCGTTCAGAACAATGGGAAGCCTTCGGCGGATGCGATGATCAGTAGTGTTAATGAGTTCATATTCGATCCTGACTCAGGATTAATATTCGATGCGTGGTTCAGGCGCTATGAAGATGTTTTCAGGGCAGAGTTGTCAAGTCTCGATGATGCATCTAAAGTTCGCCTTTTGTTACGAAAACTCGGAACGGTTGAACATGACAGATACATTAACTATATTTTGCCAAACAACGCGCATGATTTCAGCTTTGATGATACAGTTGCTCGACTCACAGCGTTGTTTGGAGACCAGTCGTCTCTTTTCAATAACCGATACAATTGTCTAAAGCTATGCAAAAAGGACAATGACAGTCTTATTGTTCACGCGGCGATAGTCAAACGTGAATGCCAGAAATTCAAACTGAAGTCGCTCACGGAAGACCAGTTCGAGTGTTTGATACTAGTATGCAGTCTACAGTCCCCAAAAGACGCCGAGATACGAACGAGAATACTTGGTATGTTGGAACGCGACACAGATGTTACATTACAAAACGCCATTGTTGATGCCCAAAGAATCATGAATTTAAAGCACGATACGGCTATGGTGGAAGATTCGAGAGCACATTCCGCAGATATATCTGTCCAACAAATTTCAGGAAACAACCCACCGACCGCTCAACCTAGCAGATATCCACAATCCAAACCCCCATCATCTTGCTGGCAATGCGGAGGATGGCATTTTGTGAGATGGTGTCCTTTCAGCAAACATGTTTGTCAAAGGTGCTTTAGACGGGGGCACAAGGAGACCCACTGCAGATTCAAAACATCATTTAGATCGTCATGTGATACTCGAAAAGCAGGTTACCGAAGGTTCGCGACAAGAGTAAACGCTAACTATACGGACGATGTTAAAGATAGAAGAAAGTTCGTCACTATTACCATCAACGGAAGAGTAGCGCGTCTGCAGATTGATACGGCTTCCGATATTACAGTCATTACGGAAAACTTATGGAAAGCTATCGGTTCACCTGACATTAAACCAACTAACCATAAAGCGAAGAGCGCATCAGGTACGAGTCTAAACTTGATCGGTCAGATTGAATGTGAGTGTCGCTTTGCCAACTTCACCGCTTGGGGAACTATTTTCGTCACAACACACAAGAATTTGAACCTCCTTGGATTAGACTGGATTGAGCGATTCAACCTCTTAGATGTTCCCATTAATCAAATCTGTGCAAGTGTACACTTACACAAACCAAAAGTCCCCAAGGCAATGGCAATCGAACAAATTCGAGAGAAATATGCGCCTGTTTTCCGTGAAGGACTTGGTAAGTGTACAAAGTTGCAAGCCTCATTGCCCTTAAAACCCGATGCTGTTCCTGTTTTCCGTGCAAAGCGGCCAGTACCTTACGCAGCAGTCCCAATTGTTGACCAGGAACTTGATCGTTTGGAGAAACTTGGGGTTATCTATGCAGTGAACTACTCTTCTTGGGCGGCTCCAATTGTGGTTGTCAAGAAGCCGAACGGCCAGATCCGAATATGTGCCGACTTTTCTACTGGGCTGAATGAAGCGTTAAACACGCATCAGTATCCTCTGCCAGTCCCAGATGATTTGTTCTCGAAACTAAATGGGGGTCAGTGTTTTGCCAAGCTAGATCTATCAGATGCGTACTTACAAATAGAAGTTGATGAAGCTTCTAGAGAATTACTGACGATAAATACGCACCGAGTTTTGTATCAGTATCATCGACTTCCATTCGGAGTTAAGTCCGCGCCAGCAATTTTTCAGCAAATCATGGATACTATGCTAACAGATGTAGATGGTGCTGCCGCATATTTGGACGATATCATTGTCGTCGGAACTAACCCAGATGACCTTTTCAGAAAGCTGCACTTAGTACTTGATCGCATACAAGAGTACGGATTTAGACTTCGCCCAGAAAAGTGCACGTTTTTCATGGACTCCATTAATTTTCTTGGCTTCATAATTGACAAGAACGGTAGACGTCCAGATCCGTCAAACATTGATGCTGTAAAAAAGATGCCACCTCCCAAAGATGTGCCTACTCTGAGGTCCTTCTTAGGACTCGTCAGTCATTACAGTCAATTTCTGCCACATATGCACAGCGTGCGTGGATCACTCAATGAGTTACTCACCAAGGACAAACGTTGGCACTGGTCCGAAGATTGTCAGAAGTCCTTTGAGGAGGTGAAGCGAATGCTGTGTTCTGACCTTATGCTGACACATTACGACCCTACACTTGAAATCGTGGTGGCGGCAGACGCTTCGAAGTATGGCGTGGGTGCGGTTATCTCTCATAAGTTTGCTGACGGATCGGAAAAAGCGATCGCACACGCAGCTCGATCACTGTCGCCAGCCGAAAAGAATTACGGGCAGATAGAGAAAGAGGCATTAGCGATAGTCTTTGCAATAAAGAAATTTCACAAAATGTTGTATGGCAGGAGGTTTACCCTGCTTACCGACCATAAACCACTCCTAGCCATATTTGGATCAAAGGCCGGTATACCCGTTTATACCGCGAACAGACTGCAGCGTTGGGCCACGGCCTTACTCGCCTATGATTTTGCGGTGAAGTACACGGCTACAAAGGACATAGGTCAAGCAGACGCACTTTCCCGGTTATTGGAGCTACAACAGCATCAGCAGGAAGAATCTATAATTGCAGCAATCTCCCTTGAATCAGAGGTCAACCAGGTCTTGATGGAGAATTTTAGGAAGCTTCCCGTGACGTTCGACATGGTACGTGACGCAACTGTGCGAGATCCCCTCTTGCGCCAGGTAATCAAATTTCACACTACGCAGTGGCCAAGTGATACTCTATCCGGAGAGCTACAAATTCTCTCTCGGAGAAAGGACGAACTTTCGATCGTAAATGGGTGTTTACTTTTGGCCGAGAGAATTGTCATACCCAAAGAACTTCGCCAAAGAGTCCTTCAGCAATTTCATCGGGCACATCCTGGAATTAACAGAATGAAAAGCATTGCTCGGAGTTTTGTCTACTGGCCAAACATTGATTCGGAACTCGAGCAACTAGTAAAGTCATGTCCCAGATGCGCGCTTGCTAGTAAGGCACCGAGAAAAGCTGACTTAGCTTCCTGGCCGTTGGCAACAAAACCGTGGGAACGCGTGCACGCTGATTTCTTTGGTCCCCTAAACGGTCAGCAGTACCTAATAGTTGTTGATTCCTATAGTAAATGGCCTGAGGTCTTCTGTATGGAGCGTGCGACAAGTGGTGCGACAATTAACATTTTGAGGAGACTTTTCAGTCAACACGGAATACCAGAAACCTTGGTCACTGACAATGGTTCTCAGTTCACTTCTTCCCAATTTGCCGAATACTGCGCACAGCATGGTATCACGCATCTACGGTCGCCACCGTTTCACCCTCAGTCAAATGGACAAGCAGAGCGCTTCGTCGACACGTTTAAGCGATCGCTACTAAAGATGCGGGGAGAAGGAACCACACAGGAGATACTTGATACATTTTTGCTCGTGTACAGATCAACTTCAAATCCCCAAGTACCAAACCAGTTGTCGCCGGCAGAAGCACTAATGGGAAGAAAACTCCGTACTGTGAATTCCCTGCTAACTCCGATGTGTACTAATGAGCAAGAAAGGAACGTTCGGATGGAGCAGTACTACAACGAGCGACACAGAACTCAAGCACGCCGCTTTTACCCCGGACAGCGTGTCTTAGTAAGAGACTATCGCGCGGGAAACCCGCAATGGGTGGTAGGATCGATACGGAGAAATATTAGACAGGTGCTATATGAGGTTAATGTGGGTAATTTGATTTGGACCAGGCATTCCAATCAGCTGCGACCAACTAGCATCCCTGCGGGCACAAACGCTCGGTTACTACCGTTAGATATTCTACTAGAGAGTTTCGACATGCCATCTAATCCCCAAAGCAATTCGGATGCATCCCGCACAGAAGTCTCAGAGGAACCGAAGGTCCAGACCCGGCGCTGTACTGATCGACTACGGAGACCTGTCGTAAGAATGCAGTTGGATCCAAAAATGAAGTCTTATGTCAACTTTTGCGGGGGAAGGTGTTAATGGGACGGAACCGGCCAATGAGAGCGTTTTACGCTGAGGGCTATTGATTTGGCCATAAATTGAATGTACCGTTAGTTGGACGTTAAGTAAATATACTTGCCAGCCGTACGCCGGTCTCCTGCTTTGGGAAGTCGGGCTGATCAGAGGGCACGCTAGCAGCAGGTCATCGGTAGGTCAGCCGAAACCATAAC